GCACGCAGACACACAGGCACACAGACACACACACACACACACACACACACACACGGACAACCTCTCGTCAATATGCGTTTTTCGCATTGCATAGCTGCAAAAAACGCATAAAAACGACCGGACTTCATGCAAAAAACCGGTAATCATGTCCTGAATGGCCGTGCGGCTCTATAATGCACCACCTTCATCCCAACTGATGCCCTTCCTCCTGCATGCCGGAAGGGGACAAAGCACAGCCAGTATGAGCCCAAGTGTTAGGCTACAGCGTGGGGATCATTCTTGCTAATAGCGATCTGCAAGTTTAGTGCAAAAACGCATGACCCCACCGGAGAGTGCTCAGCCCATGCACTTCTACCTTTTTTCATTCTCAATTTATCAAGCTCATACAGTAACTTGGTAAATTCATGACTTTTTTATAAGAGGCTTCGTCAGTTCAGCACTGCATGATTAATCTGTCCTTGCAGCGCTTGAATGCCATCTGTTCATTGCGGATAGCAAATTATTCATTTTCGGGCCAGTATTGGTGTGCTGCATGTTCATTCGTGTCGCAAGGCGCCCCAGAATGCTCACCATCATTGGAAGCACCGGGTGCTACTTACTTGAATGTACAAGTACAAGGACCGCCAACCCAGTCCGAGGCGCTTCCTACTGTCCAGAAGGTATCACTTTCAAATGACCCAGAGAAGTTGAAGTCTGAAGTTAGAGCGGCGTTCGCGCGCTCTTTCTCCCGTAAATATGAGCAGTAAGGATGCTATCTGAGAAAAATTATCCAGCTAGACCGGACCAAAAAATCTACTCTTGTCTCCAAACACTAATATTATTGTAGAAAGATAAAATGATATCATTGCAGTACAGTGCAATGCACATACAAAAGTCACTGCTGCAATAAAATGAAGTAGCATAAATAAGCTGGGCGTTCCAGCCAAAAAATCTGTGATTGATATAGTAAAACATAAATAATTTGCAGCTTCATAGCTCGGACAGCGCCTTGGTAACGGTACACTACTGTGCCGAACCGTTACCCAAGCTACCACGTGACGTGGTATTTTCGGTGGACCAGAATGAATTGCAAATAGGTCAAGCATGGCAAAATTTTCGATTCGAAGGAACGACACAAAATAATACAGTGCCAAATTGTCATCTTGCAAAACTGCTTATTTCACCAGTTTCGGATTCAGATACCAGTCGACAAGTGGTACTAAAAGTTCAAAACACCTACGGCAGCAAACAGTTTGTTTCCGTTTCAACTGAATGATAAGTAACACATATATACATGTACGTATATATATACATATAAATATATAAATATATATAGTACCACTTATATAAATATATGTAGATATATATATAAATAAACAAATATATATATATATGGAGTTTACGGTAGCCCTTTGTTGAAGGCATTGTTACATGCTAAGTTTCAAAGTCACAAAAGTCGGAGTATCTTTCCAGCATAATGGTACCGCTCGGTGATCTGTTTGGCGGACAGTCAGCAGCCATAAGCTCATTCCCAGGATGGCTTGTTGCATTGCTAATGTTACTGATTATTGGTGCACTGTTGTTGTTACTGGTGATGTTTTGCATCAGAAGGAATTTGTTCTGTTTTAGAAGTAAGTATCCTTTCATTAAAGTCCAGGAGACTCCAAGTACGCTCTGAGTTTTTGGAATCGTATTTATGAAACCTGTTACGTTGGAAGTCTGCTACCTTATTTTAAAAAAATCTGTTAAGTTGCGTTGAAAAA